CTTGTGTGTCAAAACTGGCACTAGGGTTGCAATAGGAGAGCTGGAGAAGAGGCCCTGGGACCTCAGGGAGGAGAGAGGGGGCTGGGCTCGTGGGAAGTCACCCTGAGCTGGCTGTTCCCTTTCGGTTATCCCAAAGGGAACCTGGGTGGTTCTCAGGTGGGGCAGGCACAGCTGAGTGGGGAAGACAGGACTCTGGGTGACAGGGAGAGCTAAGGGATGAGGGCATTTTTGAGGCACTACGCAGCAAGAGAAGGGAGTTAGCTCTCTGGGCTCTTGGCTCCTGTTCCCTGTTGGATCTGGCGCTGCAGGGATTTTCTCTTTTTCATTCAATAAATATTTCTTGACTCCATAACTGCCACGTGGGCTCCAGTACTAGCTGCCAGCCCTTGGTTCCATGTGAACCTCATGGCTTGGTCCTTTCTCTCTGGAGCCTTCCCATGACAAGCTTCTCAGCAGGATTATGAAGTACCTGGGAAAACAACCAGAAACCCCGCTGGCAGGCAGGGTCTCCCAAGCATGTGTCCAGGGCCCTTTTCAAGAGGACTTTGGACCCCTGAAATTGGAGGCTATATTGTGGGAGGCTCTACAATATTCCTCCCAAATAACATGTGGCATATGTATATATAATTATATATCTAATAATATGTCTAATGATTCAAAATTCTCAGTCCAGCAGAAGGCTGGGCAAGGGTATAGTGTACATTCACTGTAGCAATAACAATAACTTGTTTTATTTTTGTAAAGATTTATTTATTTACACATACAAGAGCTGGAGTATAGGCCAGAGGTGCAGGGTGGGGGTGGGAAAGGTGGAGGTGAGAGATTTCCCCAGAGACTGAGTGGGGAGCAGAACAGGCAGATGTACTGAAACACTGCTGGGGGGAGCAGCGGGCAGGTCAGGAGAGAGGTCTGCCATGCTCTGTGGGTCACCTCCCTGGCCTGGGATGGAACTTGATGCTGCAGTGGCTGCAGATAGCTTCACAGTGTTGTGCTTTAACCCATTGCACCACCAGGGAGGGCCCAGTACTTGCTTTTATTTGTATTGGTTATTCAGCCTTCACAGGTTGTTTAGGAGATCATTGGTATGTACCGTGTTGCAGTCAGGCTCAACCCTCCCTGTCCCCTTGCTCCTGGCTTTCTGCCATGGAAGAAGGCCCTCTGTGTGCAGGGCCCAGTCTGGGTGTCTGAATGAAGTTCTCTGGACAAGTCAATTGAGTTTCTTTCCTTCCCAGACAGCACTCTGGAGACTTTGGCAAATGTTAGCCTTACTGCTTTAGTGACTGTGATGCTATCATGCTGGGCTGGTGACAGAGGTGGCCAGGCTTTGAGAAGGCCAAGGTGGCTGGGGGTGGGGTGGGAGAAGGGATGGTGAGAGTGGCATTGACTGCTTTGTGGTGGTGGCTCAGGGGTGACCAAGCCCCCAGGAATGGGGATGGGGAGGGACTGCCACTATTTTAAATGAGGCAGGTCAGGAAGGCAGGGCACCAGAGCTGTTGCTGCAACCACAACTTCAGGCTGGGGCTTCCACACTCCAGATGTCCAGCTCCTGCTTGAGGTGTGTGTCCCAAGTGCAGGTGGGGACACCCTCAGCGGGACTGATGCCCCACCCCCCTTTCAATCCCACCCACACAGCCATTCCACCCGTCAAAGGGCCCCAGAGGCTTTCTCCAGGAGGTCCTGGCAGCCAGGAAGCTGGGGAAGGCAAAGAGGGGCTAAAGAGTGAGAACCAGAAGTGAGACAGGAGTGGAGAGAAAAGGAGAGGGGAGAGAGAAGGAAAAAGGAGAGGACGCGGAGCAGAGAGAAAAAAGTAAGAGGAGGAGAAGGAGAGAGAAGAGGAGAGGAGGGCAAAGGAGGAGGAGGGCCAGGGGAGAAAGGAGAGACCGAGGACAGAAAGAGGGAGACAGAGGAGAGCAAGGGGAGGGGCTAGGAGAAGAGGGAGGAGGGAGAGGACAAAGAGGGCCTATGCCCCTGGGAACCTCAGTCAAGTGCCTGGTGCAGGGCTGAGGCCCTGGTAGACTGCCGAGGCTGCGGCCTCGAGGTTGGGTATACGGTTCCTTCCTGTGGTAAAGGTAGGCAGCTAGCTCAGTTACTGGCCCCTGGGGTCATCACGAGGCCGTTTGAAAGCAAATGTCCTTTTTAGGACATCTAGTCAATGACCAGAGAGGTCCAGCCTAGCTGACCTCTTTGAGGTGAACTGTAGTGGATGGGTCCCTGGGGCTGCGTCGGAAATAATGCAGCATAGGACCAAGCCGAGAAGCTGAGCTGCCGCGACCTGGCCTGGCTTGAAGGCAGCGGGCAGGTCCAGGGTGCCAGTCGTCCCAGGGGCTGCACCGCCACCTGCTGAGCGACGAGGGCAGTCCTGGGTCCTGAGCTGCCGGTCTCAAGCGCGGGGCCCGGCGCCGCCGGCAGCTAGAGGGAAGGAGGGACACCGCAGGGGGTGCGCAGGTGAGCGCAAGCTCGTTGCTCCCGGGCGCGCCCGCCCTTCCCGCCAGGGAGTTGAACGCCGGGGTAAACACCAGGCGCGGAGTGCGCGGTGTATCCACGGAGAGACAAAGCCAGGGCGGGGCGGGGGCGCCGCCCGCAAGGCCGGGGCGGGGGCGCGGGGTGCCGACTAGGACGAACCTGAGAAGCCAGTCCTGAGGGCAGCTTTCTTAGAGCTAACAGCGCAGGGCCAGGGCAGTGGCCGCCTCACGCGGGAGGGCTGGGCCGGGCAGGGT